ACACACACACACACACACACACACACACACACACACACACACACACACACACACACACACACACACACTACACACACACACACACACATACACCACACACACACACACACACACACACACCACACACAACACACACACACACACACACACACACACACACACACACCACACACACACCACACACACACACACACACACACACACACACACACACAGTGTGTGCGTGTGTGTGTGTGTGTGTTTGCATAAAACTTTACATTCTAAACCAGCAAGGATAAAGCAGATGGAAGAAAAAAAACATGGTTTTCTTTGTTTATTTCTTACAATATCACATTTGCATTTGATGACGACTGACTTCAACCTCTGTGTGTGCATTAAGTCTTCATTTCTAATACATGAATCACAAGCACTTCCCAAAAGAACAGAAATTGGCAGTCTAAATTGTCCAAGGGAGACAAACTATTATTCAGAACAGATTAATAAATGGACAATGAAAAAAAAATACTACAAATTGTTATGTTCGTAAAAATAAGATTGTTTGTTGGCACAATGACACAAATTTTTTTTTTTCCAGTACAAATACTGATTTTACTGTCAGCCATTCTCACACAGTGAGAAATATTTCATACCAGAGCCGAGTCTAAAGTTATTCTCTTGCTAGAAAAGAATACATATTAAAAATAGTGTGCTTTCATTAGTCTCAACATAATACGAACATAACTATAAGAAAAGAAAAATACATACTTGGCATGTACTATAAATTCCTTGCTTCTGCCGAGAAATTCCATCTTATGCATACAATGATTTAGACAAGCAATAAAAAAATACCATAATTTGCCTATTATTACTGCACTGGAATTCTTTCTGGCATTGTAACACCTTATTTATTTTGATATTCATAAACCACATATGTTGGATAAACTGAATATTTACCTATAATTCAAATAGATTATTAATGATAACTTAAAATATATAGTATACTGAACAACACAGGACCAATTATACACCTTTAGGTAAAGTGGATACCATCAATCCATAAACTTTCCGTGTTCAAAATGAACTTGTTGACCTTGTATTTCAGAAATTAGGAAAAGTGACTAAAGGGAGGAGTGAGGAAAAATGTGGGTGACAGAGAGAGAGAGAAGAGAGAGAGAGAGAGAGAGAGAGAGAGAGAGAGAGAGAGAGAGAGAGAGAGAGAGAGAGAGAGAGAGAGAGAGAGAGAGAGAGAGAGAGAGAGAGAGAGAGAGAGAGAGAGGGGGGGGATGAGTAAATGAGGGATGGAGGGAGGGAGGAGGAAGGAAGAGTTTGATAGAGAGGGATGGAGGAATGGAGAGAGGGAGAGCATGAGGGAGGAAGGAAGGGAAACAGATGGAAAAAAGGGAGATACACAGACAGGAAGCAATACAAAGAGCAATAGAGAGACAGGAATTTATCTAATAATTTTTGGGGTGGTGGTGGCTTCTGATTCATCACTTAAATGGGCAAACATCTTTTACCAGGGAAATAAATTTCCCAAAAGGATGAGCATTAGAAAATTAGCCAACAAAAGTACACCCCTGGTGACAGATAAAGATAGAGGTAAAGACAGAGCAAGAAATGCTGAGACAGAGAAGGCGGGAGTGGGACTGTGACTATCTGAAAGGGTTAATGTAAATGCAAATCTCAAACATTTGAGCAATACAAGTGAGCAATTTTGGGAATCCCTTTGTGACCTGATTATGCAAACAAATGACTGATTCTGATGGTACATGATATCCCAGGCTTATATGCTGCATATGATTTTTTTTAAATATAAAAACACTCATCAGATTTTTTTCCTTTTACACACATACATAATATATATATACACACAAATTATAAATGGACTCATGTATTAACAAATACAAATCATATATTCTCTAAAAATCTGATCTTTGTCCAGGAAAATATGAAATACAAATTAAAGCATTGTATAAAAAATATGGTAAATACTAATAAAACACTAATAAAATATATAAATTGGCTTTTATATTCAAATAAATTGCATAGATCTGTACTGTTTCTTTGTGATACATTATTGGCACAAACAATGACTTTATGTCAAAAGATCAAAAGAAAATAAGTGAGCCACTAAATAAACAAAATATATGTCTTTTCTTTCATCTTTTTATTAACATAGCCTGAAGACTTGTGTATATAACCACTCTGACAGACATAGACTTTTTAACTGGGAAGAACCTTGGAATAAATACAAATGTACGAATATCTAAAACTAGCATCCATTTCTTTATTTTTCTGTTTCTTTTCTTTTGTTACACCATAGCACTGACAAATCGCTACTATTATTCAGAGAAAATACACCCAAGTCTCCAGTCTTTGCATTACACCTCAATTTCAGTTTCCTCACATATTTCAGGACAATCCGCATAAGGAAACTAAACTGACTGTGCACTTCACTGGAACATAAGCTGTGTTCAGTTGTAGATGATGAGGAAATAAAAGAAAAAGTCTGTAAGTAAAT